AACTGCAGTCATACTGCAAACCACAGCCCCACTTCTCCTTTCTCTTTCAAACCTCTGCCATAATAGTTAATACTCCTGTCAAAATTATTAACTCCTTCAGATATTCATACCTGCCTCCCCTAGCACTCTTCCCTGAAAGTCTGGAGGCTTTTCAGTCAGACAATTTTTTAAAAAATAAAATGTTAAGGAAAAAGTTATTTTTAATTCCCAAAAATAACACTTTTGCTATTATGAAATATGATGGGATTTGGGCAGATCTACTTAGTTGTCAGTTGTTTGTCACTCCAGGGTTGTCTTTGTAACTCATTACTGGGCTCTCTCCAGTAGGTCCATGTTTCTTGTGTACTGAGGAGCCAGGAACTGGACTGAGAGTTTTAGATTTGGCCTCGCCAGCTCTGTGTAGGAGAGAACAATCACCTCTCTCGGCCTGCTAGCAGCACTTCTGCTAGTGAAATCTAAGACACTCTTAATCACCTTTTCAGAAACAGCATGTTGCTGGCTCAGGTTCAGCATGGTGTACAATGTGACCCCCAGGTCCTTTACGGCAAAGCTGTTTTCCAACGGGGTGATAAGAAGCACATTTTGCAGAAACCTAAATACTTCCTTAGCAAAAAGATGTGGCTGTGTTACATTATTTCAGGGGAAAATGCTAACAGCCCAGTCTGCTCTCAATGTTAGTGCCCTCCTGGAAAGAAAACCTTGCAGATGTCTGTGGCAGCAGGGCAGGATGCCATGAAAAGCTATTTCAGATCTCTTTGCATTACATTCCCATGAAAATGGCAATAACAAAATCTTTTCCTGCTGATTAATTGTTACAGCCTTTTCCTACTGTGTGAGAGTTTCTCCTGGCCTCTTCTTTGCTCAGTAGCAACCCTTAGACAAGGCTGAATGCAGATTTGCTTTTCCTTTAAGCTCATGATGGCTTTAAATATAATCTGCTTCCTTAGCAGAACCCTTATGCTTTTTCACCAAGTTGCATAATCTCACTTTTGCTATACCTCATGGTTACACTCTGGGTAAACCATAGAAATGAATACTATTTTGCTTTAGATTCCTTTGAAGATGATAGAGTTATCAAAGCCCTTCAAAGGTACCACAGACATATTTTTGTAAATTATTAGGTATATTTAAACCTTCCATCATCAAGATAACATGCTTGTATTAGTCAAAAAAGGAAAGGAAGTAAAGGTCTTTTTTGCAGTTGCTACTCAGCTGACACCCAGCACTTGGATCCTCCTTCTGACTGTATCTCCTCTTACTAGTTATTCAGAGTATGGGGTTTTTTTATTATGCCTTCAAACTGTTCATATTGTTAGCATCTAACAAACAGGACCAACAGCCACATATTTAAAAATATTTTACCCCTTGACCTGTGTTTCCAGGATATGACTCTAAATTCTTACATGGCATCTATACTGCAAAATTATTTTCAAAGGAGGGTAATAATTGCTGCCCCATTCTTGTGCAACACTGGTATTCTGTTCTGTCTGCCTGATCACTTACTATTGAAACATATAGTGTTTACAAGCATCAAAAAATTAAATCTTTACATAAGAATGACAAAGCCATTCAGTGAGAACCAAAAAGAAAAAAGAAAAGTTAAAAGATTTAAGAAAGAGCACATAACTGCATGCAGGTTTAAAGGAAAAACACACAACCCTATGCCTCATCTTCTAAGAAGAGCTACATTTTTTGCCACCTTATTTAAATTGTATTTTGGAAAAAGTATTTGAAAAAAAAATGCTTTAAGCTGCTTGGATATTTATTCCAATCATGCAGACAATTTCTAAGTTCTTTTGCTCAAGCATCAGGCTTATGTACAAAATAATCCCTCCAAACACATCTCCCTTGGAGATGAAATTCATGTGTTTCTTGCCTTGCCCCCAAACAAATGCTTTTGCATGAGTCATTTATTGTGGAACTATTAACCCTCATTGAAATGCACATCTAAACTGACACTTAACCCTGATTTTTTTTAGCAGCACATGAGGGTGTGGGTGATATTTATTTGGATAGCACCTTGCAGCCTGGAGGCTTTAAAAGTGTTTTATTTACATAATGTCTCATTTATTTTGTAAGAATTACACTCTCCCCATCACTGCTGTGATCTTCTTTGGCATAGAAACTATCCAACAGCTGTTTATCAGCCTACAGAAATGCTGTGTAATAAGAAGTAAAAAGAGATTGTGCATCTAACTGTAACCATGGAGTGAGTCAAGAAGAAGCACCGTCACGAGAAAAGAAGGAAAAAAGCAGTCACTGGTCTTCCAACTTTTAGTTGTTCAATCCTGCAGGTCTCTGGTAGACAGAGAATCAGATGGGGTAAAATACCATTCACTATGTTTCCACCCATGATTTGTACAGCCCTGCTGGTCAGTGGCAGACCCAGTGCACTTAGGCACAGACACCATCCTGGGCTATGTGTAGGGAGCAGTATTTTACATAACCTGAAAAAACAAATGCATAAGCCAAGATTTTGAGAAATTACACATTCTTTGGCTGTGGAATAGAAGATATTTTTAAATGGAGTGGAGCCTGTATTTTTTTTTTTTTTCAGAAGCAGATACCTATGAGAGAGTGAACACTAATTTAACCGCTTGGTGAACCCAGTATCAGCCACAGGAGAGTCAAAGTAATAAATTACAGGAGATAAATTGCACACATTTCACATATGCTGAAGTAGTTTTCAGGTTTTTTTATTGTTTAAAATAGATTAGTATTCTTATTCACCTTTGATTAGTATAATTGCACAGGAGAAACATCAAAACTTCATTAGCTGGAGTGGCTGTGTGATCTTAGAGTTTAAACATGTTAGCTTACTTCTAATATGTAAACTGTATAGTGAGACATATCTATAGAGCAATAGAAAAAAAACACAGCTGTATCTAACAGGTGAGGAGAGTATTTGTGTGTAGAGAAAAGCAAAAAAATTAGAGTTGTGAAAATTTTAGCCTTTGCTAATTATAAGAGACAGAATTTATGAAGTGTGGTATTAAATCCTGGGGAGAATAACATAAACATTACTAAAAGATAATACATTGTTCAACATATAGTGTAAATAAACATGTTGAAAACCAGTTCATGGAAGTTTGCCTTGACATACAGAAAAGAGTGAAAATCAGCTGAGCAGACATTGGGATGGCAGGCTTTGTGAATTTGTCTCTTCAGAAGGAACATTTGGTAACAAGTACTTTGCCATTTATCGTTATCAACTATAATTGCAATTGGGGCAATTCAACACTTTGTTCTGAAAGTGTGAAAGCTGTGTCATCAGGTATTGGTCTAACACAACAGAGGGACTTAATGTTCACTGGCAAGAAAACTTTGGAGTATTTAACACAGTTCCTCATCAAAACTCTAGGCAGATTATTAAATATGATTTTAGAATATCTGTGTAGAGGAAAAAAGAGCATCACCTACCGATTTGGTATCTTTTTTAGTAGTGCATCCCTTGCAAAGGTCTTCTAGGTGCTCTTGTCACAGATACATACCAGTATTTTTATTTTGGGATTCTAGCATTAGTCAGGCATATTCAACTGATTGTAAGAGAATGATAGAATATCTAAATTTTAGAGTGCCAAATCAATTTAGCTATTACATGTAAAGACTAGAGATTAAGGAAAGACAGAGATTAAATTTGTAAATTATTCTGGTTCTCCAGGATGAGGTATTTTTGCTCAGTGGTTTGAAGAGTGGCTGCTCTCATCTATCTTTTTTGCCTGATGGCAGAGACAGCTCTTTAGCTGGCTTTCCATTTCTAATTTTGTTTCTACTAAATGCTTTTATTCTTCACCTATCAGACACTTCTGTTAGTAACAGTATTCAGATAAACTACAAAGACTGATATAGAATGGCACATTAATTTCATCATATGGTCTTGAAATTTAAGGATGACGCATCCAATGAAGAGATGTTTAGTCATCTCAGTCACCAAGATCCCCTCTACAGACAAGGGAAAGAGTTCATACTTCAGGTAGGTCATGCCTTTCATCTAAATACAGGGCTTTAAAGTGCCTTTCAAGGTGCATGACTCTCCTTCATCAACTGTAGAGGAGATCAGATTACAAGTTTGCACTATGTGTCTGGGTTTTTGATCCCTAAAGATAAGATTATTCCCCAGATTAAATGAGACAATTCCCATCTTTGGAGTCCAAAACTGCTTTTTATATATTCTCTTCTGGTTGAGAAGGAGAGTTTGGATAATTAGCTGTGCTGAGGGAGGGGATTCATCTCAACCAATACTGAAGAAAGATGTGGCATCTGGGGTTTCCTCATTTCAAGATACAGAAAGATCCAAAGGATCAAATCAACACTTCAGAAAGATGGGGTGTGTTGTTCTGTGAAGATGTTAATCCTCATCATAAAGAAAAACATCTTTTTTAGTCAAACCTCTAAGTGGTGAAAGTTAAGTGAGCTGAATCTCATTAATATGACAGCTCAGATTGAAATGAGTCACTCTATTGGGTGTTAATGTCAGAGCGGAGGGGCTGGAGAGGTAGCCTCTGTGAGAAGGGATCAGGGGCTACCCAGCCCATCCCATCCCAACAGACTCCAGCAGACCTTCTGGCAAAACATGGCCAAGCTGTCAGTTCCTCTGGAAAAACATGTCTAAAAAAGGGCAGAACGCCTCAGGGAGAGGAGGAAGGAACAAAATTGTGAGAAAAAGCAGAGAGAACACAAAACATCATATGAGCAGGAGGAGGAGGAGATGCTTCAGGTGCCAGAGCAGATATCCCTTGCAGCCTATGAAGGATTCGTACTGCAGCAAAGGAAAAATATGAGAAGGAGGGAACAGAGAGAGCAACTGCTGTGTACTGACCAAAATAACCCAGCTCTGTGATGCTTGCAGCAATAGAGAAGAGGGTGGAGAGAACCTAAGTCTGAGAAAAGGGGATGGAAAAATGATTTTTAAATGTTTGCATTTTTCCATTACTAGAATTAGCAATTATGTTTTGGGGTTTGGTGGTTTGTTTTTGTTTGGTTTTTTTGGGGTTTTTTTTAACATTTCAGTTAATTTTCCCGAAGTTGAGTCTGTTTTGACAGTAACTGGTAAGTGAACTCCCTGTCTTTTAACTGATGAGGTTTTTTGCTCCTTCTTATTTTCTCCCCCACATCACCAAGGGGGTGGTGTGATCAAGCATCTGGTGGGTGCTTGAGTGTTAGCCAAGGCTAACCCACCAAAGGAACGTTTACGTTTATTATTATAAATTAACTTCTTGTGCCTTTTCTAGGGAATTAAAAAAAAAAAAATACTCCAAGTGTACAATGTTGCTTTGAAAAATCTGGCAAAATTTCACATGTTATCTAATACATGGGAGAGATAGCTAAAATTCAGATATCAACAATATTTCCTTTTCCAAGATATTTCATGAGGGAAGATTATAATAGTCTATGAGAAGGTGAAACAGCTTTGGCAATATCAAAATATTTCCAGATGTGCATGCAGAATATGTGAAAACCTATGCTAATGTATGCATGAACTCAAGTGGCTGTCAGATTTGCATTGTAAGATGAATAATTGAATTTGGAATGTATTTTACATTCAAAATTCTAGTTTTCTGATTTTTCACTTGCTTTGAAGTAACAGAAGAGCAACAGGCTTTTCAAAAACTGTAATAAATCTACTGAATTTTTGGTTTTGATTTGGGGAGGTAAAACATTTAATTTTAGATTTCATATTTTCAAGAAATACTCTAATAATTTTTACTTTAAAACAGCTTTTCAAAAATGCTAAAACAGGGCTTATCTATATAATTGCATTTCTTTCCTAAATGAAAGGCTGTCAATACTGACATATATTAAAAACATGTCATGGTGGGTGTGTATACCACTTCATCAAGAAAAAATATTCTGTTTAAAATATTCTGATTGACAGATCATTTATCTCAGGCCATCCTTTTAATCCACTTTGCCATCGAGGGCAGAGTAGGTTTTCTGTTCAGAAACAAGATGCAGTTGCCTTCTTGGTTGTTGTCACAGAAGTCACCTCCTCTGAAGTCATGATGGTTACATGGCAAAAGCTCTAACCTTCTCTCAGCTGTGCCTATTCCATTTTCTACCAGGACTCCCACCATACTTGCAGAGCTGCATTCCTTGTGATTCTTTATCATTTTTTCACTGAGAATGAGCAAAACCCCTTGTGCTGACTTTCTCCTAAGTGTTAACTGAGAACAGGAGCACCTTGCAGAGAGTGTTCACTGACCACTGTCAGGTGCAAAGAAGGTATTCAGTACACTGGACTGGAGCCTAATAATGCAGTCTTGCAGGTGCTATAAGAACATAATATTCAAAATTTGGTGTTCTTTAAGTTTGGTTGTGGCTAGCTACTCCTGGGAGCAAAAGGTAGTTCTGTAGGCATTAGGACAGAGTAAAAATGGACAGAAGTATCTAAATAGAATACACAAGATGATTGCACAATACCTGTCTCAACAACCCGCTGTAAAGGTAAACAATCTGAAGTAAGGCTTCTTTTAAATTTTTGCCATGGCTTTTCATTCCTTGTTTTAGGCCAGGACCAACACAGCTATTCTGAAGTGCCTCAGCAAACATATGGTGCGTGTGCTGTTTGCATCATTAACCAGCCAGGCAGCAGGGAACAGAGCGTCTGCTTGAAAACATTGTGGGAATGGGATTCCTGGTACTGGGAGTGCAAACATCTATGATTGAGACTCTGGGTATGCCTCCTTGCCAGCTAATATCTGGACAAAGCCAGAACTTGTGCATTATAAGGCCTAGGTATAATTTTGACACGCATCACCTGTTGATTCTCTTCATGACTGGCTGTATTTTCACTTGTTAGAGGCACCTATTCACAGGAACAAGCATTCACACTGGGCTTTTCCAACAGTGGTGCTGGTGTTACAGAGCTGACATATTGTGTGCACCCTGCCAGCTTGTTGACAAAAAGAGAGAAAAACATAATTTAATACAGATGTTTGAGCGCAAAAAGTATCAGTAACCCTTCAGACTTCTTTCAGTCCTGTCAATCAAACATATCCTCTCCACCAGATAAGATAACGTGCCCTGAAAAAATGCCTGTTTATGACAGGCATGTGTGATTTTATTTCTCTTTTTTTATTCTCTGTTTCTTTTGCCTATTCATATGTCTATTTGTTCAGAAGACTACACTAGTTATGAATTCAGATGAAGTTGTGGACTCACCACTAGGGCTTTAAAATCTTTGTGTGTAAATTAGTAATTTCAGCTGTACAGCAGATCACTACATACATCTAAAATCAGTTTTAAGTGTGAACATATAAGATAAATATATTTGCATTTCTGAAAGTTTGATCTCAAGCCATTAGTTTGTAGACCCTTTTTAAAAAATGTATTTATACTTTAAGAGATGTGGTCTTCACAACAAGTTCCGACCTCACCCCTACCTTTTCCACTTTCCTGTCCTTTTGATAACAAACCTTGTCTATTTGTACTTATTTCACCTCCTAAGTTCTGTAAAATCTACCCTTGTACAGATATTATACTTTGGTGTCCTGAACAGGAAACTGATGTAGGAATGCACATTATGGAGACCAACAGCAGTTTAGTCTTTTTTCACCAAACTTTTTTTACTTCCATGTAGATAATTTTTATTCTCTCATTCATATATTTTTAAAATAGGAAAATATATATGTCTGGAGACTACCTGATGCTGTGGTCAGTTTCTAGCTGGTGTGATTTCTCTAGTACTAATTTCTGAATTCAATATAACAAATCCTCACTAGGCCCCTGTCAGCAGGTAAATAACATCTTTAAGAGACTTTCAATCCAGTTTCTAATTTATAATGTTTTTCAAAAAAGAAACTGGCAAAGGGAGTTAGCTATATTTTGACCTTGCTTATACTGAATGTTTGTAACTATAGGGAATTTGAGATCATCCTGATGAGCAGGAAGATTTATTATCTGTTCAGTGAGAATTCTTAGGCTGAGCTCTCTGCCAATAAACTATGATATTCATCTTGCCTAATTCTTTGTGAAATTAATGCAGAAAAATCCTAAAGGCAAAAAAGATATTTTGACTCAATATAAGCTTATAATGAGTGATACAGGATGAAGTAATCTGAAAGGGGAGAAACTAGTCTGTTCTATGCTGGTTTTCTTGGATTCCATGACAAAGGAGTAAAGTAGCATGCTGGGCCCAGGATAGGTACATGGTTTTGGCAAGGGCCAATGAAGTTTTCATTCTGCTTTAGACAGAGCTGTCCTGATGTGAAATTTTATTTTTCAGCAATGTATTTCAGCATGAACAGCAGTGCTAAAAATATAGCCACATTTAAAAATATAGACACTTGTGTTTTTTGCAGAAGCCTCATTAGGACAAAATTTAATTAGCTAAGTGTGTCTGGGGAGCAGTCCAAGAGACTCTCTGGACCCCACAAGACTGTCCAGAACAAGGAACCATAAACCTGTCTTTAAAAAATATATTTTGAAAAAGAGAAATACAAGACAAAGATGTAACTGTCACTGGAAACCATGGCAACAGGTGGAGAAATCTCAAAAGAGCAGAGAATACAGGAGCATGCTTTAAGACTAAAATGTATTAATCTCCTCTCTATGAAGTCCCTGTCATCTAGGGAATTATCCTTCTACAGCCTGCAAAACTTCACATTGTGGAATGTTTTGGAACCATGTTAATTTCTTTGAAAGATTTCGGATTTGTAATTATGAGGAGGTGTCTACAGGGAGTAACTGCACTGGGGTGAAGATAGAGAGACAGAGAAAATGTGCCCCAAATGTGCTTTACAAAGCTCCATCCTAATAAAACATCAAAATACTAGATGTGTCCCTGAAATGGGAATACAGAATTCTCTAGGGTCAGGTAGCCCCTTCTCTCAGTCAGCCTGTTCACATGTTCATGCCAGATTGGTCTGTGACAGAACACATGGTCACCCAGTTTGTGCACACCTTGGTTTCTCCTGCACTCCAGGAGCAGCTGACACTGGGTGGAAACTTCAGTGCCTGCCTGAGATCTCTCAAGTTTAAGGAAATTGATTCTTAGTCATCCACTTAATTCTACTCATCTTCCTCATTATTATAGCAGGGCAAAATTACCATGTTTTAATTTATGGAGCTGTGAATAACATTTGTCAGTGTCTTGCTACTTTTTACTCTTATAAATATGAACCAAAATCATATTTGCTGGTAATATTTGAAACCATGTTACATATCAGAACTAAGCACCAAGTCTCTGTACTTTTTAGTGACATAAATGATTCCTCTTGGATTTTTTGTATAAAGGTCATGAGACATTTTTCTCAAAACATATGAACACCATAATCCTAGATCTCTGGTTTATATGCTTTTGAAAGATTTAACATGACCCTAAAAACACAAGCATTTAAAAGAGAAGGAAACAAAGTCAATATAGGACTTGCACATAATTTTCAATTTTTCCTCCCTAATATCACAGAAAAACTCCAGAATTATTAAGAAATTTTTTTAACTCCTTAAAATGCTTCAAAATTATAGATTGATGGTTGAAAAGTCCAAATATTTGGACAGAAAAAAAATCATACAAAGAATCTGAGAAATCATAGATCTGAAATACAAAACAAAGAACATGTTGCTGGTTTTCTTTTTTTTTTTGGTAATATTCAAGCTGATAGATCATCAAAAGATTTTACTCAATTTAGGAGGGCCAGAAAGACATCTTTTTATTCAAGAGGTCATAAGTGCATTGTGGCATTTAAACTTCCCTTTGGGTATTTTGTTCCCGATCCATGTAGATTCCTAAATATCTCAGCAACTCCATCCAGAAACCTGTGTTCATCCAAAAGTATAACTGATATCCTGTTGCTGACCCACCATCATACTAGAAGAATTGCTGTCCCCCAGATTATCTGAACATATTCAGAATTGAGGAAAGCAAAATTCATTGCAGTATGCATGCTTTCAGACAATTTCCGATTAGAGAGAAGTATTAATGTGTTTTTATCTTCTTCATTTGTTTATTTGTTTCTTCTCACTGAAGAAATCTGACTGGAAGTTTTTGAACAGGTTGCTATTTTTGCTGATTGTATGTGTTTATTCCTAGAGATCTTTGTAATGCTGCTGTCTCCCTCCAACCTAGCTTTCTTTCTTTACACAGGTATCCTGTCTTTTGTCTTTGTGCTGATGGCGCAAAACATGTCTATCAAGTAAAATCCTTTCCCTTAACATTTAATTGTTCCATTGACTGCCTCCTCTAAGACTGGCTGAGAAAATGACATGTCCCAGTTGACAGCCCATTTTCCAAAAATAACAACATGAAAAAGCATGAAAGGCTTAACTGCGTTAAGAAGTCCTTCTCAGCCTGCAGTTTAATAGAAATTCTGTCATGGGACATCTGGGAGCTCAACTGAATGATATTTTTAAAACAGCAAGAGGTCAGTGTTTTTTTCTGGTAAGTTTTGATGAAATAACAGGTAAAATATAATCTCTTTTTGAAATAATTGGGTGGTTCACAATAGAGATCAGTGCTAGCTTTTATTCAAGGTAAAATTCAATATTGAGTGTTATGCCTTCTGTCTTCAGAAGCTAGAACGGATCCATGCTGTGGATCATTCATGGTCACTTTTTTTTATTTTAGGAACTGGTCCACCTGCAAAACACTCACTTTGGCTCATGAAAAAAATTCTGAACCTAGACCACTAGAGGCACAGACCCCACAGCCCTCCCAGCATTGCTAGGAGCCAAGTGCATCAGGCTTCCCACAAGGGTTTATGTCATCAGCATGCCATAGCATTGTTGGTAAAACATACCTGGCATCTGACTAATTTATAAAACCTACTATAACTGATCAGGTGACCAATCCAATGCCAAAAGAAAAACATTAAAAATTGGGATGAATTCTTAAAATAGAAAGTATGAGCACATGTCTGCATATAGCTCAACAGATGGCATCTCTTTAAACAGGGTTTGTCCATATGGCAAGCAAGTAGATTGAATCTGAATGCTGTATAGGATCCCAATGGAGCAAAACCCAAATTTTTTTTAGTTGAAGAATGTACGCTATATATCTCACTTATGCTTCAGATGACAACATAAGCAGTTTTATGCCATCAGCTTGTGGTTTTAGCTGCAAATAACCAGAGAGAGAGGGAAGAGATGAAGAAACATCAACTTATCAGCACGTTCGGAAACTCTCTGAGGGTTTGAATAAATAGAAATGAAGAACAGGAAAAAGACATTCAAACTCCAGTAAAGAACTTTTCATAAACAGTTTACTAATTTAATAGCTGGCTAAGAGAAAATGCCATTACTGAAGCTGCTCGACCACCCAGTCATTAGCACTGACAGACATCAGAGTCGTGCAGTAGCAAAAAGCCCATGTCAGTTCAGAAAGGCTGCTGAGGATGTGAAATTTCTCTAATACAGTAGGTATGTGCCCAGGTAGAGAAGATTTCTGAATCAGAGCAAGAACATCCCTTGTCTATCGATCCCTCACAAGAGCTTAAGCATTCAGCTCACACACTGGTTACTGCTCCTGAGCTGCAAACTCTTCTCAGCGGAGATACTCCAGGCATAAAGGAAAGGTTGTAGCTGAGGATGTATTACCTGCTGTGGCACAGGGATCACACTGCTTACACAGGAGGAAGCCTACCTGGAAGTCTTATAGTACAGGAGAACTGGGAAGAAGCCAACTTTATCCATGGAGAAAACTTTAAATGTATTTTCACCATTCATTTAAAACCAGAAAGTTTCCATTCCCTTTGAAAGGTAGCATAGCAAGGCTATGATGTTTGAAAACAAAGAAAGAAGATGTATGAATATGAAAGATCGTTATTTTAATGGAATTTAATTGATGACAAGTTCAATCTCTCTCACTTGTTGACATACAAAGTATTGAAAAATATTTCTTTATTTTAACCAAAAAAAAAAGTAATAGAAAGAGCTCAGTTTAAATATTTCTTAGCTGAATAAACATGTGTCTGCATATTTGATGAAATGGCAAATTAAATATAAATAGTTTATATATAGTTTGAAATAAATAAATAAATATATAATTTTTTATACATAAATAGTTTAGATATATTAAAAATTCTGCAGTCATCCACATTTTTAATTCAGTTTAACAAACAATTACTGTCTTCTTTTACAGACAATGTCATCTTTAGAACAAGGAAAGGAGAAAAGGTTGCATATGACATTAAGGAATCTGTCTGGGAGAAAATATACCTGAACTCACCTGTAAAAAATCAAAACAGTCTGATGTCAAACTGTTGTGCTTTTACTGCTACACTTCATTACTGAATAAACCAGTTATAGTAAGACTGGATTATCAAAGAAATTGAGAACAGAACTTTCTTTTCAGGCTTAATTTTTTCCTTTCAAATTAAACATGATATCTGAGCACATTGCTGGTTATTTGCAACCACCTTGTGCCTGCAGTAAATGCTGAATACACACATTGCAGCACCTGTATACTGTCTTGAAGACTTTGGTGGCCTCCTGAGGGCAATAAGGAATCTATGCAAATTATGGTGGAAAACACTAATAAAAGCCTGTCTTCAAAACATCATTAAATTATTTCTGGGTCTCTTGTTTCTGAGTCCTATACAAGGCTAAAATGCATGCAGTGAATGAGAATTCAGTCATTTGCCGTCCAGCTACCCAATCCCGTAAAGTCTGATGAATTTCAGGTTCCATCCATCCCAATTTTTATGATTCTCCACAAGCATATGGGGTATAATTTCATATTCTCTAGAAAGATGCACCCCAGAACAATTTAGAGGCTAGGGAAAGAGTTTGCCAAGCCACTTTTAATCAATTACCACCAGTCCCGGTTAAATTGATAAGTTGACTAGAAATTGGCAACTGTGATGCCCATCTACAAGAATGGTCAGAAGAACAACCTGAGGAACTACAGGCCTGTCAACCTGACCTTAGTACCAGGGAAGGTCATGGAGCTGGTCATTCTGAATGTCATTGTGTGGCATACTCATGACAACCAGGAGTTCAGGTCCAGAAAACATGAATTTGTAAAAGGCAGGTCCTGCTTGTCTAACTCATCTCCTCCTATGACGAAGGTGACCTACTTAATATGGTGAGGGCAAGGCAGTAGATGTTGTCTAACTAAGCTTCATGAAGGCCTGACACTGTATCCCAAAATATTTTCCTTGAGAAACTGGAAGCCCAAGGCTTGGACAGGTGTACCCTTTGCTGGGTGAAAAACTGTCTGGATGGCCAGGCCTAAAGAGTGGTAATGAATGGAACTAATTCTGGTTGAAGATCACTCACTAGCTGGGTTCCTCAAGGCTCAGTATTGGGGGCAGTCCTGTTTAATATCTTTATCAACTACCTGGGTGAGGGGATTGAGGGCATCCTCAGTCAGTCTGCAGTTTAGACACTGGAGGAGTGTTGTTCTGATGGATGGTGGGAAGGCTCTGCAGATGGATCTGGACAGGCTGGATTGATGGGCTTGTCCAGCCCAGGACCATTGTATGAGGGTCAAGAAGGTGAAGTACTAGATCCTGCACTTAGGTTGCAACAAGCCCATGCAGCACTACTGGCTGCAGACAGAGTGGCTGGAAAGCTGCCTGAGGGACAACTGTGGGGATGATGTTACACAGCTGCATATGAGTTTGCAGTGTGCCCAGGTGTCCAAGAAAGCCAGTGGCATCCTGGCCTGTATTAAGAATACTGTGATCAGCAGGACCAGTGCAGTGATTGTCTCTCTTGACTTGGTGTTGGTGAGGCCACAACACAAATCCTGTGTTCAAATTTGGGCCCCTCACCTGAAAAAGGACATTGAGGTGGTGGAGCACGTCCAAGGAAGAGCAGTGAAGCTGGTGAAGGGTCTAGATCACTAATCTTTTTGGGAGAGGCTGTGGGAGCTGGGGTTTATCAGCCTGGATATGAGGAGGCTTGGGAGAACCTCTGCTCTCTGCAGCTACTGTAAAGGAGGTTCTAGTGAGGTGGGGGACAATCTAATTTGCCATGTCTCAAATGAAAGCATGAGAGGAAATTACGTTAAGTTGCACAAGTGATTAGATATTAGGAAACATTTTTTCACTGAAAGAAATGTTAGGCATTGCAAGATGTTGCCCAGGGAGGTGGTGGGGTTGGAAAGCTCTGGAAGTGCTCAAGAATTGTCCGGATGTGGCTCTAGGGAACATGGTTTAGGCATGATTATGGTGGTGCTGCGCTGATGGCTGGACTGAATGATCTTGAAGATCTCTTCCAATCTTGATGATTCTGTGATTCTGTGAAGAATGGGTGCTATTGCTAATTATAACTACCATTAATTATTAAAACTAGTCATCAGCATACTGTTACATTTTCCCCAAATCTTTCCTGTTCACTAGACACAGAAATTATATTCAACTTTTCAGACTATAAAATGAGGCTCAGGAAACTGTTCATCATTTAGACACAAAGAAGGCTGAGATTGGTAACTCTAGCCTTCCCTCCTTTATTATCTATAGAAAGAGGATGTAAATTTGGGAATGTATATCAGGCTGGTGAGTCATGCTGATTAACAGATATTTAGCCAGGCTCATTTGCTTAACCTTAATGCTTGTCACATGTCTTGCCACAAACTTCACTGTGCATTACAAAGGATTTGACATCATAGAAATAATTATTCCAAAATGATCCTGATAGATTAAAAAAAAAAAAAAAAGGAGGCAATTTGATCCTAAACCCAACATTCTCTAATGAGAATGTTTCTGGGTCTGCAAATCCATAGTCATGTTTTATTTATAGCCTGCCTATGATTCATCATTAAAATTTCTTTCAGATTTTGAAACAAAAATTGTTCTTCTATGCATGAGTGTTTTTAGATAACCACAGCTGCTCCTCACTAGCTGCTCTTTCAATAGCAGAAAGCCTAACACCAGTATTCTTATACATCTTTACTACTGTCTGCTGAAATTCAAATGTATTTCAACACACACAATCAATCCCATTGTAAGGAATTCAGGCAGCAGCCACTGCAGCCAGCATTTGGCTTGTCAGCAAAACCCCTTTTTGTTCCAAAGAGGAACAGCTGATGGAATAAAACTTTTCTCTTGGCTAGAAAGCTTTGAAAGGATTGTGCTATCCCAGCTCTGCCCTGGCTGTGCCAAAATGCCTCTGAAGATGTTTAAAGCAATTGTTAGAAACTCTGCTAGGTAGGCAGCAAAGAAAGGCAGGATACTGCTTAGCCTTTCTGCTGCTTTGGCATTGAGGCTGCAATTTGAATTTTTCTTTGTATTGCTTGCTGGGTGGTAAAAAGATGAAATATCTAAAGTGATTTGTCATTGAGAAAATTATTTCTGGAGGTTTTGTGGTTGCAGTTAACATTTCTGCTCTCTTGATTTAAAAGCTTTCTCTGCAAATGGACAATTTTACAGGTTGTTTAAGAAACAGAGCTTGAGCTAAATTTCTGGTAATCATGTCTTGAGGATAAATTTTGGTCATCTCTGTGCACATATTTCTTTCTATATATACCTAGTAAGTAAGGTTTGTTTCCACAGGGATAAACCCCTTAACTTAAAACCCTATGTGCTCTTTCAGGATCTAACCGAACTTGAATTGAGAGAGACTCTGAGTTAATGACCAGCTCACCTACTCTGGCATTTCTTACTGTGCACCTTTACAGACAGTGCTGGAGAAGTGACACTACAGCTTCACACATATGACTGGCACAGGCGCATCAGATTGAATGTGATTGCTGTCTCCCCTTTGCTCATCTCGGCGTTGGAGATGGCTACAAATAAAACTTTGATCGACGCCAGTAGGGATGAGAGGTGATTGAGTGGCAATGTAGTTTTTACTGCACTTGCGGCATTTTGTGTGTTGAAAACAATTGAAACATTGTGGCTGTAATCAGCACATCTAGGGAACTCATAAGATGAGTTTGTAATCTTGGCCTAAGGTTGTAACATGAATGCTCTTGTCACTTATACTGCTGGCAGCTGACTGCAGTCTGGCAGCTTGGAGAAGGCAGAAAAAGCTGTAGGGAGTAGTTAAGTGGATGACTTTTGACTCTCTGTAAATAGGAAAGGAAAAATATAGGTCTTTGAGCAGTCCTATAACTCCAGTATTTGAAAGTCTGCTATTATATTCCTGTGGGCTGCCAGAATAGTTGTCTCTTTCAAGAATATATTTGTTCCTCTTTCCTGTAATTATATGGACCTACAGAGCAACACATCTTATACTGCATGAATACTTAGTTTACTGCCCATAAAAACAACATATACACCCATGAAAGTAGAGCAACTTCACATAATTTTTTCTTTTCTCATTTAGAATTACATGTTCATTCTTATTCACTAAATATACATCTGAAAAAAGCCAGTCATTAAGAATAAGAGATTTCTTTCCAAGAGAGAAGGTACCACAGATGAAATAGTCATACTGGGATCACTTTTCTGCTGTTGGTAATCCTATGTTCAATGTGTTTGGGAAGAAGATGCATACATTTTCTATTTGTTTTGTATGTTCTCAGTGAAAATCACATGCATAATTTCTATACCTCTTTCAATGTGATTTAGCATAAACCTGTTTTCTATAAATTTATTTCCTGTGCCATATTTGTGTGGAGATTACCTCTTAAATATGCTAAGTGGAGAGGTCAGATCTCTCTTTATTTGTTAAATGAATTAGTGTTAGAGGTTCTATACAATTCAAACACTGAAAACATGAGAAAGACAGTGAAGGAGAGAAGCAGTTATAAAAACCTGAAGAAAAGTACTTTGTACGTCAAAAATCACAGGGTTGCTAACAAACAACTCAGCTTTGCCAAAAAATTCCATGTCAAGGTGTTAACTTAGTTTAAGCTAAAATATAAACTTCTTTCTCACTGCCTCATGCACTGCAGAAAATAGATTAAGTATTTCTTTAAAATATGACCTTAGAAATCTGAACCTGGCAATTGTTGGTAACTGGGGGAACAACTGAAGGTCTTTGAGCTCTGACTGGTGTGGGTAAAGTTCTGTGTGTATTTGTATACATAGCTGAAACTGATCCCATCTTTGCTTTGCTCTCTTCCCATTTCACAAGACAGACTTTGGGCAATCCTGCTTCTCTGAGCAGACAACCAAGGCTCTTAACATACTGACCATCTCTCTTCCCTCTCTCCCTCAATTCCACTCATCTCCAGCCATGTTTAACAATTCCTTTCTGGATATGCGCACCACTTTCATGACTGCTACTGCATGACTGAGCATATATCCAGAGCTTCATGAAAAGCTCTGATCAGGATTTTGTTTACAGTGATACACAAGGGTTTACAGTGATACACAAGGGTTTACAGGCAGGGTAAAGGGAAGCCTGCAAATTTATGACTTTTAAAGGAAGCCAGGTTGGGTACCTTTTGTGCATGAGGAAGACTTACAATAGTCTTAAATTTAGATGAATGAGAGGAATAATGAAATAGGGATTAGTTTTACATGAAGAAATGGACTATTCAAAAGAGAGGGAAACAATGAAAGATCGAGGCAAAGAATTGCTGATTGATCACCCATCATGCCAGAAAATCAGGAATGTGACAAAAAATAGAAGAAAGGAGTAGCAGTCCCTGTAGAGGGAATATCAAATCTGAAAGAGAAAGAA